GAATGGTGAAAGTATGGGATAGTACTTAGAAGTTTGGTTGAGGTACCAAGTCAATAAAAAGACAAGCAGTGTTTCATTGAAGGAAATGAGACTGAATGCCATTTATTTGTAGTTGTATTGCTCTGCAAGGTTATGTGATCTTGTCTTGCTCAATAGCCCCATTTAGGAGCAAAGAAGTTGAATGTGGGATCTGTCCACATTGGGCAGAAGAAATAGAAGGATAAGGATCTAGGTTTTTACAGGAAAATAAGTTATCAGTCACTGGGTTCATGTTCAGGTAGGCAAGAAGGGACAAAATAGAATCTATTCATTTTTCTCAGTCTTCACTGCTATCATTTCTAGTCCAGCTCACCACCGTCACTTTTGTAATAATATTCTAAATCAATTCTCCCTAAATCCACTTTTGTTTCCTCCAAACTATTTTTCTCATTGCAAGTAGGGTTTTTTTTTTTTTAATAATTCAAGTTCATTTATGTCCTGCCTCTTCTTATAACCCTTTAATGGCTTCTCATTACTTTTAGGATAAATCCTGAGTCTTTAACAGGGTCCACTAGGCCCTCTTTTCATCCTCATTTTGCATTCATCTCTCTGTTCCTTCCTGCCACAGAATGTCGATATATTTTTCCTCTGCTCAGAACACTCTTTCCCAATTTGTCTCTGCAGTTTCTCTACTTACGCTTTGATTCTTTGATGTACTATCACTTCCTTGGGAAAGCTTATCCTGACTCCATATGGGAGATAACACCCTTGCCCTCAACATTTCTTTAATAAATTATAATCGTGACATTTTCTGGTTTTCTTTTTCCATACTGGAAGCTTTCTGAGGGTAGAGATTGTTTGTAGTTCACTGTTGTGTTTCTAACCCTGATCATAATGCCTAACACATATTAGGCACTCTATGAATTTTTGTTGAATTAACCAATAAGGTGATTAAATATTTGGATGTCTTAGTCTGAGATGAGGATGTTTTGAGGTGAGAGAGGAGGTTTAATAGTAGAGAGGAAAAGCTGGAAGGAGATGAGGTTGTGGCCAGGGTAAGATGTTGGGAGTTGAAGATTAGAGGTAGATGGTTTCAGGAGATAGAATCCAGGATTGAGCTGTTGGAATAGAGATGGAGGTCTTCAAATTTGATGAGATTATGAAACTCTAAGGCAGAAATGTAGGTGGATTGTTTAGGTGGGTGTTGAAATTGCTGAGGAAAATGGTAGAATTTGATATGAGGACAATATCACCTGGTATCTAAGTCTTGAATAAATATGAGAGATACGTTAGTGAATGAATTAAATGGGTAAGACTCATTGCGGTTCTGGGAATAAATAAAGCCCTAGTCCCTTGGTAAGCAATGTGGTAGAGAGAACATGTGTTCAAAATATCTGGGTTCAGATTTTGAGCAACCCATCTGACTTTTACAGCCTTATATTTTCTTATTTGTAAACTGGGAAGAATAAGCCTGCTGCAGGAGATTTGTCATTAATGATTAAGGTTGTGTTTTTGAAAGTGCTTAGTATTAACTTGTGTTTTTAAAAATATATATATTTTTTATTGATTTCAGAGAGGAAGGGAGAGGGAGAGAGATAGAAACATCAATGATAGAGAATTATTGATTGGCTGCCTCCTGCACACCCCCCTACCAGGGATTGAGCCCACAACCCAACCTGGGCATGTGCCCTTGACCGGAATCGAACCCTTCGGTCCACAGGCTGACACTCCATCCACTGAGCCAAACTGGCTAAGGCTTAACTTGTTTTTTATTCTTGATTGTTGGCATTAGTTCAAGAGGGCACCGAAGTAAAAGTAGGGATGAGAGGCAAAGATAGCAGCATAAATGAATTTGGAATAAGGTACCCGATTTAATTTATTCCACATGTTGAGTTCATACTATAGGGTCAGCACAAATATTCACAAATGAATACAGGTAAAAGCAAGTACTATTACACAAGAGAGGATTTTGTAAAATAAAGGTCACTTGCTGGCTCATAACATTGCAGTGTTGATCCACAATAAATTTTCATGTAAAGAAATGCTTAATCTAATCATTTTCAATGAAAATTTCATCATTCCTGGGGGATTTTGTTGTTGTTGTTGTTCTGGAGAAGAGAACAGGACCATTATGTGAAAGGTATAGGTGGGAGAGGGCTGGTGATTTAAGTTTAGAAAAGTATTTCCTAACAATTAGAGCTGTCTAACAATAAAAGGGACATCCTGGCAAAGGATGAGTTCTCTATCAAAGCTTGTATTCAGGTGGAGACTGGATGATTGATCTATCAGATATAATAGAAGGCTTCTTGCATGGGGGCTGACTGTGGATTAAATAATTGCTGAAGTCCCTTCCAATTGGAAGATTGGAGGATTTTGACTCCATTTGAGATTTGTCTAAATACCATTCAGTCAACAACTATTTGAGTGCTGCTTCTGCTGCTTTTGAAAGTTTGAAAGCCAAGCTCGTTTGCTTCGTTTCCTTCCTGTGTTCTGAGACAGTGCCAAAGATTGAGTCTCAGTCATTGCCTTGGATATTCCCATTTGGAATTTGAGAAGCTCAAGCCAGGTGTTGGTCGTGATGTAACAAAAGCTGCTGTCCTCACCTGTTGGGTGGGGTTAGGGTGGAGTTCGTGGCATGCACCTGGAGATATCAAATATAAGAATGTGCTGCCAAGAAGTATGGTTTCGTGCTTTGAGATTTTTAGCAAGTCAAGATCTATGATGCTTTGACATTGATAGTTTTCATTGGCTTCTCTCACTCAGAAGCCTGTATCTGGCTGGGAAATTGCCCATCTGCCTGTGGCTTAATCAACTCTTACTGAGCACTTTTTTGCTGATTCCTACTTGTGTGTTTATTGTGTATTTCCCACATTCTTTCAGGAGGTTATTAAAGTGGCTTTACTAAGTTTCTTTGCATGTTTGTTTGTCTTTTTTAGAAGATTGAAATTCATTTTCAAGCATGCTCTTGGTTTTGGATTATTGATGCATTTCAGTTATCTGGGCTGCTATCATCTCCTGTGACCTAAGACAGTGACTGAAAAGGACCCAGAGAGGGAATTCTTACCTGTATTAGGGGAGGGAAAAGCCACTCATTCATCTATGAATTCTGAAGGGATTTAATTCAAGTATTGAGTATAAGGAACAAATATATTTTATACATTCTGAATTTGAGATATCTTAGGCAAAAGTTTTTTTTATGTATTTGTAGCCTTTTCTGACAACTGTGATATTGAAATGGAAGTAAATTAGACATTGATAATACAAAGACCAAAAGAGAATATAAGTATAATAGTTTATGAGGCTGTAGTGAACTAGAGTTCTTTTTTTTTTTTTTTTAAATCTGGAAAGGATTTTAGAAGTCATTGACTCCAAGTCTAGGATATAGAAGAGGCAACTAAAACCCTGTACATAATTTAACAAAAGTCAGCCAGCTAATACATACAGGTGTAGGCAAAAATCGTATGATATGAAGATGGTAGAAGTAGTGACAGTAGAGCTGATGTCTCTTTAGAAAGGAGAGTGTCTAAAACTTCAAGAGTTGGACTGGAAAGGCCCTTAGAAATGAAGAACCCTAGAATTTCTGATCTGCTAAGTTAAGACTCAAATAGATTAGTTCGGTGGTAGCTAATGTGGAGGTTCACTTAATCATTTATTCATCAGGCATTTACTGCTTACGATATTGTAGATGTATGTTAGATGTTGGGGCTATAAATATGAATAAAACATGTCCCGTCACTCGTAGATCTCTTGTTCTACTGGAACAGTACAAGAGAGAATAATTTCTATTTTGCTGTCTCTCTCATATAAAAATTCATTGTTATCAAGTTAGTGATCTCTACTGGGCTTATAACCCCCAAATGATTGCCTTAATATTTCTAAGGAATGCAGAAAATCAAGATCTGATCACAACACTAAACAAGCTATGACCTGGGGTCAAGGGTGGTATGAAGATAAAAGTATCTTACATGTTTCTGAAGAGAAAGACACTGTTACCTTAGAGAATTCTACTTTTGCCTTCCCCAAAAGGCAGATTGGTGAGTGTGGTAGGGCAGGTGTGTACCTGATGACTTTATGAACAAGTTTTCTTCTACAGAGAATTGTAAACAACCTGTCTGATATGGTAGAATTTAGTTCGAGATTGTCCTTCACTCCATTATTGCTTCCTCAGCTGGGACTACTAACTTCAGAGGAATGTGGATTGGTGCCAGGCTGTCAGTCAGGGACACAGTTTCTGCCAAAGTCAAGTCTGAAAGAAGAGATCTTTTTCAGGTGAACTTATTTGGCAATCATTTGTCCTGGGTGGAGTTAGTAGACAAGGATTGACTTTCGTTATGAACCGCTGTGATCTCCACTCTGTAATAACTTATGGTTTTATTTTGAGTTGTCTAGCTATCAGTTTGTTTCTCCCATTTCCTCGGCTGGCATTAGAAGAGTGGTCAACTGTAAAGTTATTTAGTGTATAGTATTCATTCATTCATTCATTCATTCATTCAGCAAATATTTACCGAGGGCATGTATGCCAAGCACCGTGCCAAGTGCCAGGTGATACATGCTGGGGACACAGTCAACAGCACACACAAGCTCCTTGCTTTTAAGAAACTTACATAGTAGAGGAGAAGGCTAGATAGCAACTAATTAAAATTATTTCCGAGTATATCAAGTGCCAGGAAGGAAATAAACAAGGTGCTATGTTAGAGAAGAATGCAGATGGGAAGTTCTTCAGGGTGGTAGTCTGCTGCTCCCTTGGATAAGCAAACTGATGGGTAGAAATGTAATTCTCTAGGAAGTGGGGGGAAAGCATTATTCGGAGTGGTATTATGGTTTTGTGGTTAATGTAGTAGTTAAGAAATTAATATTAATAAGGAATTAGGAAACTGAGTGTTACTCTTCATAATAAATTCAATTGAAATAAATAAGCTAGGATAGTTCATTTCCCTATTTGGTTAGGAAGCTGCTGAAATTGGGCTATGCTCATCCCATTCCAGTGTAATTTGAGCCTTAAGTGTTTATTTCTTCCTCAGGTGGAGGCTTGAATTTTGATCTATGACCTCCCTACATCCATTGCCTGACAGTACTTAATGATCACATGACCCTGGACATGGATGCTGTCCTGTCAGATTTTGTTCGTTCCACAGGAGCCGAGCCAGGGCTGGCCCGAGATCTCCTGGAAGGTAAGAGGTCATTGGGGGAGAATGAGAAGAAAGTAAAATGTGACACTTACCAGGATGATTTGAAACATTTAAGGTGATTGGGAGGACATTTTATGTATGGTAGACTTTACATTTAAGTTACTTCTAATAATCTACTCTGTGTATAACCCACCATATTTTAAAATGCAAGCTCCTCCTTTCACCTTGAATATTTTTAGGGTACCTTTCGCCACTGCCAATTTATGTTCAGGTAATGCAAGTAAAATTTTATATTAGTTCACTAAAAAAATAACTCTAGATCTTTAAGACTTCTTTACATATAAATCACATGGGTTTTCATATTTGGTATCATCCATGGTTTTGTTTCTGTCCTTTCCAATTTTGTATGGGTAATTCTATGTAGAGTGAATTAATTTAATATTTTCATTTTGCTGTTTTTATTTACTTACATCTATATACATATAAGTATGAATATTCTATATTTTATTAAGGTCATTAAGGCTTGGAATCATGCCTTGTGGGATTCTTTGTTTGGAATCATTATTAACAGATGTTTTTTTTATGATGACAATATATGGTGATGCAAATACATAAGCCTTTGGTGGAAGGGGCAAGTTTTTAGTATACAAGGGTAATTTTTTAAATTGTCAGCCCTTAGAAAGGTGTGACAGTTTGATATTTGCTTAGCTGCCTGTGAGTAGAGCCTTAGTTTGGAAGTAGAAAATCAGGATTTAAATTCCCAGTGTTACAATTTTAAAACTGAGGTTCAGAGAGGTTAAGTAGGACTTAAATCTAGGCAATCTGGTTTCAGAGTCTGGCTCTTAACAATTATATTACAAATTAATGCTTGCATGTTCTCTCTCTCTCTCTCTCTCTCTCTCTCTCACACACACACACACACACACACACACACACAAACACACACACAAATACACACATCCATACCCATGTGCACATACACTCATGTTATGAAATGTAAGAAATGCTATGGAAGTGTAAGAAAGAAACCAAAATTAAAGAGTGCAGAATGGCCTTCCTGAGGAAGTGACATTTGAGCTGAACCCAGAAGGATGTGTAGGAGTAGCAAGACAAAGAAATGTAGCTGAGAGTCTTATGCAGAAGAAATAGATTATACAAGGATCCTAAGGTGAAATAGAGTTTGGCACATTGGAAAAACTAATATTGAGTGAGGTAGGAAGACTGGTGGGGAGCTCATTAGATAGGCAGGAAATAGAAAGTGGGGGGCCTTTGTAGGTAAAGAGTTTAAATTTCACTCTTTTTTCAGTGGGAAGCTGGTGAAGGATTTTAAAAAGGGAGTGACATGATTGGATTTGAGTTTTTAACAATGTACTGGTTAAAGGATATAGAACGGATTGGAAGGTGGCCAGAGAAGAAGCGGTAAAATCAGTTAAGAATATTTCCATAGTTTAGGTGAGAGATGATGGTGACTTGAACTAGAGTGGTAGCAATAGAGTGAGAAGTAGATGGATTTAAGATACAATTTAGAAGGGGAATCAAAGGACCTGAGGTCATTTTCTCTCTGTCTCTATCTTTCTTTCTGTCTCGTACTTTTTTCTTTAAAAGTTAACTAAGGCCCTAACTGGTTTGGCTCAGTGGATAGAGCGTCGACCTGCAGACTGAAGGGTCCTGGGTTTAATTCTGGTCAAGGGCACATGCCTGGCTTGCGGGCTTGATCCCCAGTGAGGGGTGTGCAGGAGGCAGCCGATCAGTGATTCTCTTTTATCATTGATGTTTCTATCTCTCTTTCCCTCTCCTTTCCTCTCTGAAATCGATAAAAAGATATATATTTTTTAAAAAGTTAACTCAGATTGTAATATAAAGAATGAATTAGAGAGGGGAGAGATTAGGAGTAGAGACTAAAGAGCCCCTCCCAAAATGATTTTAAAAGCTATATATTCGTCTCTGTGCATGCAAAGACCAGGTGAAGGTTATGAGGACTTGAATTAGGACAGTGACAATATAAATGAGCAAGAAAGGATGGAATTGAGAGATGTTTTGGGGGTACAAAAAACCATGCGGATTGACTAGTGATGGAAGAGGAGGAATGGGATGTGAGGAGTAGTGAAGAGCTGAAGGTGACTGAAGTTTCTGGCCTGGAGGGATTGTGATGCCATTACTAATATAGGGAATATAGAGGTTTTGGGAGGGAAGATGATAAACATTCAGTTTGGACATGTTGATTGTTTAGGAGGACGTGATTTTAAGGAGTTTAGCAGACAGTTGGAAATTTAGGGTCCGGTGCTCAAGACAGAGGTCATTCATTAGGACAAAAGTCCTTCATTTTCCAAAAAATATTGAGTACCTGCTGTGTGTGAGGTTCTAGATACTTGAACAAAACAAACAAAAATGTCTGCCCTTACCGTGGGAAAGATAGTCAATAAACATAACCAAGTAAATGTTAAAGTTTTTTATAAGGTGTTATAGAAAACAGAAGAATGATGAGGTTATGATTTTTAATTGGATAGTCAGGGTAGGCCTTATTAAGAATGTGAAATTTGGGCAAATACCTGAGGAGATGTCTGTGTAGAATATATTGGGGAAAGAGCAGTGGAAATAGTGGAAAGGCCCTAGGTGGGAGCAGTGTTAGCATGTTCTAGGAATGGCGAAGAGGCCAGTAAGACTGAAACAGAGTGAGCAGAGCTAGTTGGACCAAATAGTGAATATAATGGTACAGAAATAATTCAGCAGATGTAGATGATCAATATGGCTTAACTGGATACTTGTAATAAAACAAGAAATATAATAGTACAGCATTAAATGCATATATAATGCTTTCTGTGTATCAAGCACTGTTTTAAGTGCTTTTTATTAACTTAATCTTCATAACAACCCCAATATGATATAATCTCCACTTTCATAGCCAGGAAAATTGAAGTACAGAAAAAAGGCTAGAAAAATAGACCAGGTCATAGAAAGCCTTGAATGTCACACAAAAGATCCTAGGCTTATTCCATAGACAGTGGTAAAAGATTTTTATTATGAAATTGAAGTGTTTAGAACTGTACTTTAGAAAGAATAATCTCATGAAATTCTTTAGCGTGGATTGGAGGTGGGACACTAGGTGATAGGAACTGAATGAAGGTGGTAGCAGATGGAATAGAACAGAAGGAAGTGTGAACAGTTATGCAGTATGCTATTTACTGAATAATTTAACTGGAGAAAGCAACAGAAAAATTCATTATGACAAATCTGTTTTCTAGGGTCTTCAGTAGAGCAGTGATTCTTAAATTTGGGTGGGTTAATTCCCTTTGATAATCTGGTAACAGCCAGTAGCTCTTTCTTTAGAAAAATGCACATACCTATAACTTGGTGTACAATTTCATACAGCTTAGGACACCCTAAAGGACATCTGGGTTAAGAACTCTCTGGATCACAGAATTAGGAGACCTGGACTTGCTTCCTGCTAGGCCCAAGTGCAAACTAGCTGTGACTGTGGCTAAATCACTCTATTTTTTAGGTATCATATCCTTTATATGTAAAATGAGGTTACTGGGTCTCTAAGGGCCCTTTCGGTACAGAGAGACAATTTCTGTGCTCATGGAGCTTAGTTAGGAAATAGACAATAAGTAAATAATTGTGATATTTCAGATAGAAGTGTTATGAAGAAAATTAAAGCAGGGTAAGGAAAGGAGAATGATTGAAGTGTGCATGAGTATATGCTTGCTAGTTTTGATAGGATGATAAGAGTGATCACTTAGTGTCTTTCCTCAGTTTTCCTATACTCTACGTGCCCAATTCATTCTTTGCTTTGTGTCCTGACAGGAAAGAATTGGGATGTGAGTGCCGCCCTCAGTGATTTTGAACAGTTACGTCAGGTCCATGCTGGGATCCTGCCCCAATCCTTTAGTGAAGGGAGTGGTGCCTCCAGGAACCCTGAGAAAGGGTTTTCTGATAGAGAGTGTACTCGCCCTCCCCGACCTACTCTACAGCGGCAGGATGACATCGTTCAAGGTAATGGAGTAACTGAGGGATATTTCATATGGAGTGGAAAGGAAGGGGGGGAACTGCCAAATGGAGTCAGAGTTCAGTGATCCTTTGGAGATGTTTCCATTCCTCCCTCTTGTCCCCATCCAAACTGGTCAGAGGTGGCCTCAATCTGTCCAGGTGCTGGAGCTCCTTACTGCCACTCTGCATCTTGAATGTTATCCTGTATAAAGGTTTTCTTTAGATACTGTGAAAAAATAGAGGAAGGAGGATACAATCTAGTTGTTGAGATAAGGTTTACATAAAAATAGAATTCAATGGGTCACTACCAGATACTTCTTTGGAGGCCATTCTGTTAATATTGTCAGTATCTACCAAAACTTAAAAATGCATATACATGCTGACTGAGCAATTTCATTTCTACGAATTGATCATATACTAGAGGCCCAATGCACAAAATTTGTGCAGGGGTGGGGGAAGTCCCTCAGCCCGGCCTGCGCCCTCTCGCAATCCAGGACCCCTTGCTCCTAACCACCTGCCTGCTTGCTCCTTACCACTTGGCTTGCCGCTTCTTAGCGCGGCCGCAGAGGCAGGAGAGGCTCCTGCCATTGCTGCTGCACTTGCCAGCTGTGAGCCCAGCTTCTGGCTGAGCGGCGCCCCAGCTGTGGGAGCACACTGACCATCAGGGGGCAGCTCCTGCATTGAGCATCTGCCCCCTGTTAGTCAGTGGGTGTCATAACGACTAGTCATTCTGGTAGTTCCACCGTAATGGTCACTTTTATTATATAGACAAGAGGCCCGGTGCATGAATTCGTGCATGGGTGGGGTCCCTCGGCCTAACCTGCCATCTGGACCAATCGGGGGAGGCCAGCTTCTGCAGGGAGGGACCACAGGAGGTTGGCCCCAGCAGCAACTAATCAACGGCCGATTCCACGAGGAATCGGGTTCCCTCCTCCCTCCTGTCTGGGTCTAGGGTGCTGGTGAACCAGATTCGGGGCTGTCAGGGCCCCAGCAGCAAGGTCTGGGTCATTGCGCATCATAGCTACTGACCGGTTGTCTAGTCATTCCTGTCATTTGGTCCTAATGGTTGCTTAGGCTTTTATATATATAGATGTTTATATACACGTCTCTCTCTGTGTGTGTATATGTAGATATGTATCTTCTTTAAATAAATAAATACATACACAAATAGACACCTACACATATCCTATATAATAAAAGCCTAATATGCTAAGTGTCCGGTCATCTGGCCGGCCATTCAACCAATCAAGCATAATATGCTAATGATATGATAAGGCTGCTCAACTGCTCGCTATGACTTGCACTGGCCACCAGGGGGCAGACAGTCGACTGGCCGACCAGTTGCTATGATGTGTCACTAGGGGGCAGACGCTCCAACTGGTAGGTTAGCCTGCTGCTGGGGTCTGGCCAGTCGGGATTGAGCGAGATGGGCCGGACACGCCCTGGAGCCCTCCCCAGCTGGCCAACCTTCCACGTCCCTCCCTGGCCCCAATCGGGCACTGGTGGGGTCCCTCGGCCTGGCCTGCGCCCTCTCGCAGTCTTGGCTGAGGAACTCCCTTCCCTCCCACCCACCCTGCCCCGAGTGCACGTATTTTGTGCACCGGATGTCTAGTTTAGTGTAAAGCTTGAAAGTTAAAGCTTGAAAACAACTTTTAATATCCATTAATAGAGGGGTGGTTAAATAAATTGTAATCATCCATATTATGGACTATTGTGCAGCTATTAGAAAGAATTAGGTGGAACTTGATGTGCTGCTTTGGAAAAAATCTCTAATGTCTATTGAGAAAGGTAAGATGCAGTATATAGTATGCTCCTGTGTAGGTTTTTTAAATGATTTTAAAAGATACATGTGTGCATACAAAATCCTAGAAGGCTATATGAAAGGTTGCCTCTGGGGAAAGGGATCAGGAATTTTAAAGAGAGGAAGATTTCTTTGTAACACTTTGTACCTTTTGATGGTATTTTTATTTTTTATCATGGGGCTGTTGTACTTTTTAAGTACCTAAAAAAGAGTTTAAAAAATAAATCACTATAAAGTAATTTTTAGATAAGTCTTGACTTACTTTGTACATCATCTCTGGCAAATATGGGTTAAGAATTGCTACCCAACACATTTTCTAGTTCTTTTGATAATCTTTATATAACTTGAGCCATGCAAATAAATTGTAATACTACACTGACCAAATTATGATCACAATGGGATATCTGCTGGGGAATTGTAAGTGCCATGTATTCAAAATAAATGAAATAATTTGAGGCACTGCTCAAATCTGAGCATGTCAAGTCAGAATTGACTGTACCTATAAATTTCTAATAAGTTTGAATATCAAGAAAAGTTGTAGTAAATAATGTAAATAAATGTTATTAATGATAGGTAAGGAAGTTCCTGAATATGTAAGATTTTTCATTAATTTTCTATATTCTCGAAGACCCTAAAAATTATCCGAGAGATTGTTTGAGTCAATCTAACCAAGTGCCACCCCATTTTCCTTATTCCCTCTTTCTCCCACAGAACAAATGAATGTTGGGAAATGAAAGTGGAAAAAGACAGTCATAGGGAGAGGAAGGTCAGGCAAATTCCCAAAAGGGTACAAGAGGAATGTATATTTGGTGCTAATATGCGTACACAACAATACCACTTTCTGTATTTCTCCAATTGTATTTGGCTTGAGAAGAGAGTTGTGGTATTTGGTAACCATTGAAACTCACAGTTTTTCCCAGAGTGGAAAGTTCTCTGAGTGAGCTGTGTATATTCTAAGGTGACTCCATTTCTCATTGCAGAAAAACGCCTGTCTAGGGGCATCTCCCACGCCAGCTCCAGCATTGTTTCCCTGGCCCGGTCCCATGTCTCCAATGGTGGGGGTGGGGGGAGCAGTGAGCACCCCCTGGAAATGCCCATCTGTGCCTTCCAGCTTCCAGATCTCACTGTGTACAATGAAGACTTCCGCAGCTTCATAGAGAGAGACCTCATTGAACAGTCCATGCTGGTTGCCTTGGAACAGGCAGGTCAGTGAGTGCTTCCTTTTCCATGCTCTTCCCTCTGCTCCCTACCTACAGGCAGCCCCTGGGCGGGGCAGGGCTTGACCAGTACCTTCCAGTCTAAGTATATGATCTGATTACAGTCAAAGTCAGCAGTTAGTCAGATAAACTTGTATTAAGTTAGGTGTTTCTTCAGGTTAAAGTAAGGACACAAATTAGACACTTTTCTCTAAAAGGCCTAGGAATCAATACCTAAAAATCAGTCCATGAAAAAAAATACAAATGAATTGTAATTGGCTCTGAAACACCTTATGAACGGAAAGGACCAGTGCTGTAGATAGTGTACAGTGGTGATAAATCTGAAAGCCACATTTATTCATATAAACTTTTCCCAAATGACTTGTTTACCTTTACAATAGTGTTTGTCTTAAATTACTGTTAAAATTAGTTAATATGATGGGGTTGCATATCCGGGAGTTCTGGGAAAGCTACTCAGGTATTAAAAAAGCTCCCATGGAAAGACTGTGGGGGGGGGGGGGGGGGTTAAGGATAGCGCATGGAAAAGAGTTTTCTTTTTTCATTTGTACCTCTATACTACGCAGTGAGATAGATTATATAAACACAATATACTAGAGGCTGAGATGCATGAAATCCATGCAAGGGCTTGGCCCTGCAGATTCGGCTTTGTCCGGAAGGCCATCCGGCTGTCCGGTCTAATTAGCATATTATGCTTTTATTATTATAGACTTTTAAAGTTAGCAAGTTATCTAGTGAGATTATAGGCCGGTTTTTCTTTCTGTAGACTCTTTAATTCAAGAAAGCTTAAAAAATATTTTAAAAAAATTCCTCATCTGAGGACATACTTTTATTGATTTTAGAAAAAGAGGAAGGAAGGAGAGAGAGAGAGAAAGAGAAACATCGATCGGTTGCCCACCCCACATGTGCCCCAACCAGGGATCGAACCCGAAACCTGGGTATGTGTCCTAAGCAGGAATTGAATCTCGACCTTTTGGTGTATGGGTGACGCTCCAACTAACTGAGCCACACCAGCCAGGGCTCAAAAGAACTTTTAAGCATCATTCATAAAATAGTTTCCTCATAAAAAATGGATTGGCAATTGTGGGGTGACTCTATAGAACTGAGAATCATCTTGGATGTTTTATGTACTTTGTCTTACTGTTCATGTCTTTAGAGTAACACCATATACATGCTGTCATATATGCACATGATACTTGTATGACACTTTGAACACATGCTTGGGGGTTGTTTTTCTTTTACTGATGGTGGATTTGTGCTGAGCTCTGTTGCTATAATATTTACTAATCTCCTGACTGCAATGAAGGAATCAGACCAAGTAGCCAGTACAGATTTCAATGTATGACCTTGACCTCATCATCTAACCCAGGGCCGTTCAGTCTTAGCACTGTTGATATTTAGGACCATATACTTTTTCTTGTATGAGCTGCCTTGCACATTATGTTGTGTTTAGCAGTCTCCCTGGCCTCTACCCACTAGATGCCAGTAGGATTTCCCTACTATTTGTGACAGACAGACATATTTCCAGGCATTTTCTGTCTCCTGAGGGACAAAACTGTCCCCACTTAAGAACCATTGATTGCCATGGTTGGAGCATCATCCCATACACCAAAAAGTTGAAAGTTCAATTTCCAGTCAGAGCATATTCCTAGTTTGCAGGTTTGATTCCTGGTCAGAGTGCACATAGGAGGCAACTGATCAGTGCTTCTCTTTCACATCGATGTCTCTCTCTCTCTCTCCCCTTTCCTCTCTCTCGAAATCAATAAAAACATATTCTTGTGTGAGGATTAAAAAAAAAAAAAAAAGAACCACTGATCTAACCAGTTGTGCTCAGTAGGTTCTGATCAACTAAATGTAAGTGAAGAAGATATCTTTAATAGCATGATGATTTTATCTGGTAGTTTTCCTACAGGAAGCAAATTTGGAGTCTTTTAAAAATTGGGAAGTGGGAAGGGCTTTATGGGTAATTTGCTCTTCTTTTCTTCCTTTTTCTTTAGGGCGTTTGAACTGGTGGGTGAGTGTAGACCCCACCTGTCAGAGGCTGCTTCCTTTGGCAACTACTGGAGATGGAAACTGCCTTCTACATGCAGCCTCTCTTGGTGAGTCTTGAAAGTGGCCCTCTGTTCCCCCGTAGAAGGAATCAGTAGAGTTAAATGTTATGTGTAGGACTTGCTTCAACCAATGGTGATCATAGACAGAAGTGATGGTTCAGAACAAGGGTGTGTGTGTGTGTGTGTGTGTGTGTGTGTGTCCCACAAGAAGTTGACCCTCAGAAGTAATGAGCAGCAGAAGCAAGCAATATATAGCTCTATGTGTGTGCATATAATTCTACTTAATATTTATTCTTTGGTAAATAAAAAATGTTTTCATCAACTTTAAATTATACAGGCTATTTATAATTCAATATATTATCTGCCTTAGCCTTTAAAAAAAAGTCCCCATTTTCCAACCTTCCCTCAAGCTTTGATGCTGATTGTCATGTGCCAGTTTTCTCTGTTGCTACCTGTTTATTAGGCTTGCATCAGGAGTAAGTTCTTTCTGTCAAGAGTTTGTAGGGTGTGGTATATACCTCACTTTCACGTCCTCAAAAATAGAGAATAGGAACATCTTTTCTTTCTTGATTAAGTGCCTTTCCCCTAAATCCCAGAAGGGTTTCATTGAACTTGGACTTCAGCCTCATTTCCTTCATGCCAGTGTCGGTGTATCATAATTAATAAGCGGAGTTGAATCACTGTAAGGTGTCTTACTGTTATGTTTTCTTGCAACAGGGATGTGGGGTTTCCACGATCGGGACTTGATGCTGCGGAAAGCTTTGTATGCACTGATGGAAAAGGGAGCTGAGAAGGAAGCATTGAAACGACGCTGGAGGTGGCAGCAAACACAGCAGAATAAAGAGGTGAGAGAGCTGGGGTGGGAGCACCTTGTTTCCCAAGGTTACACAGAGGAAATGTGCAGTGCCTACCAGTAGGAAGTGTCTCCTGGTGCTTAAGTGCTCCTGTAATTGTAGAAAATGCAGATAACACCATAGAGTGTCATAAGTACTAGTATGGAGAAGCTGAGACTTTACAGAGGAGGTATCTAACTCTGCTTTTCACCTGACAGGTGCTTATAAGTCTTCAGTGGCAATCTTTTGCAAAATGACAAGTCCATAGGATTTTTGTATTGTTTCGATTTTACTAGTATTGTTTATAACGTGACCAGACTAATTTTTAAGGACTTGTGTTTTCAATCCGTGTAGATATATAAATGCTTAAAAATATTTTTGGCCATGTACACCATTTATTTTTTCAAATACTTAGTGTGTTTAGCCCTAGCTGGTTTGGCTCACTGTATATAGCGTCGGCCTGGGGACTGAAGGGTCCCAGGTTCGATTCCGGTCAAGGGCATGTACCTTGGTTGCAGGCTCATCCCCAGTAAGGGGTGTGCAGGAGGCAGCTGATCGATGCTTCTCTCTCATCGACGTTTCTAACTCTCTATCCCTCTCCCTTCCTCTCTGTAAAAGATCAATAAATATATTTAAAAAAAAATTTTTAAAGCATACCTGTTAAATTGAGTTTGAGTGGTACTTCTCAGGGATTTAGCAAGTGTTGAAGCTGCTTTTATATAAGAAAGGAATAATGGACTTTTTGTACTTTCCATCTCCATAACAGAGGTTGGGCAAACTATGGCCTGTGAGCCAAATACCACCAACTGATTAAAAAAAAAAAAAAGTTTTACTGGAATACAGCCCCACCCATTAATTTACATGTGTATATTTATGTAAGTGCTTTCCTGCTATAGCAGCAGAATAGAGTAGTTGGGTATGGCCCACAAGGACTAAAAGATTTACTATCTGGCTCTTTATAGAAAAAGCTTACCCACCCCTCCCCTTAACTTTAATACTGACATTAACATTTATATAAAGACAATAGATTTCCTTTTCCGCTGGTTCTGCCTTCTATGTTTATCTCCTGCTCTTTGAGGTATATCTAATTTTTGCCATGTATATGGCTGGGTGTTTCTGGAATTAATGTGGGAATATTAATTCTTCAGAAACTCATCTTCTTTCTTTTCTCCTTTTATTGTTCAATCATAACTGGCCATATATAGAACCAAGAGATTTTTGTTTTGTTTTAGTCATTAGAATTTTATGTCCTGAAGATTTAAAATACATAAGTAGAATGTGTTCTGTTTCTTTCTCAAAAACAAAGAACCCATTGTTAAACTTAGGATGATGTTAAGATCACAATCCTATCTTTGATCAGCAATCTGCCCCAGAAGATTCCTGAGGGAAATAAATGCACAGGGCAAGGCCAAGTACATGACAAGTTCTTTATACCACCAAGCCCCATGGCTCCCTGGTGAGCTGAACTGGACCTTGTGGAGACCTTCTGTTGCCTGAACTAGAGCCAGTCCAGAGTTTGCCTTCTTTGCACCATACCTGAACCTGAACCTTAGATTTGACCACTCCAGAAATAAGGCCAAACCAGACTATGCTGGTTATTAAGTAGAAGTGACAGCAATAGTCAGAGAATAGGTGTGTCCAATTCCAGCTTTTAAGCTATAACTGTTATTTATTGATTTTTTAAAAAATAACTTTTTTTAAGAGAGAGAATACATTGATTTGTTGTTCCACTTATTTATGCATTCATTAGTTGATTCTTGTATGTGCCCTGACTAGGGATCAAACCCACAGGCTTGGTGTATCCAGGCGATGCTCAACCAATCCAGCTACCCGGCCAGGCTATAGTTATTATTTTAAAGGCGGGGTTAGATTATGATGGTATTTACTAAGGAGACGCAGCAACACCTATTCCCTCTCAAAGTCTCCAGTGAAAATACATGCATAGAGAATAGTAGCTATCAAAGGAGCAATCTTTTTACTCCTTTTGCTGGGCACATTGAAAGTTCCATATTAGAAATATGGCCTACGTAATTGTTTTAGCTCAGATCACTCAGACCATGGGAGTGGGAATGGGGGGAGAGTGGTGATGGACTAGGGAGCTTCTATTAACCAGTACCAAACACAAAACAAACTAAAATGGTTTTGATTTCCCAGACCTCCTTTTGTGTTGAATTTGGTGGTAAAACCCAGTAAGAACATTTTCAGGCTAGAAGGGTACGCCACCTAGAGGCTGTGTGTATAAGAACAGCAAGGAGAAATAGGTGAAAGAAGAGAGACAGATCCTTCTGACCATATATCAGAGTGACCAGAGCGCCCCTGAAACTGAAAATAGCTTTGCCATTTTTTAAATTAAAGTAGAATGTGCTCACAATGGCTCTTTAATTCCTGTTAAATTTGTTCCTGGTGCCCCTCATGTTTCTTTTTTTATTTAAATATATTTTTATTAATTTTAGAGAGGAAGGGAGAGGGAAAGAGATAGAAACATTAATGAGAATCACTGATTGGCTGCCTCCTGCATGCCCCTACTGGGGACTGAGCCCACAATCCGGGCATGTGCCCTGACCAAGAATTGAACTGTGACTTCCTGGTTCATAGGTTGACCCGGCCCAACCACTGCGCCACACCAGTCAGGCTCCATTGTGATTCTTTTTACTGTCAGTTTGAGCTTAAACATTTTAATACTAATGTAAGCCAAATACAATAGACTGTTACTTCACCTAGAGGTAACCAAGGCTAAAATCATTAATATACAACAGTATTTCTGGGGTAGCAGAGTTCACAGAGGTAGGAGAAAGTAATGTTGTGGAAGCTAAAGGAGAAGGGAGTTTAAAGAGGATCTCAAATGCTACACGAAAGCTAAGAAAGATGAGAACCAATGAGTCCACTGAATTTGGCAATTAGGAGGTTACTGTCCTTTGCCCAGTGTTGGTTAGGTGAAGTGGTATGTGGGGGTGAAAGGCATAGCTGGAGGGCAGAAACAGAAGCTAGATTGCAATGGGTTGGGGGAAATGGAAGAAAAAGAAATGTGAGAGAGATCATAGCCTATTCTTTCGTGGATATTGGTTTTAAAAGGGAGAATAGATTTGACTTTATAGTAAATTATAAGCCAAGTGCTAGGAGAATATTGCCTCTTGAACCTAGCCTCTAATTGCTTGACATCCCCTGCCTGTCTTTCACAGTCAGGGCTGGTATACACAGAGGATGAATGGCAGAAGGAATGGAATGAGCTGATCAAGCTTGCCTCAAGTGAACCCCGGATGCATCTAGGTACAAATGGAGCCAACTGTAGTGGGTAAGTATGGGGGCACAGGAAGTAATCTTAACTGAGTCCTCAGAGTCCAAAGAGCTCCGTGCTAAGAGGATGTTAGGAGAAAAGAGAGGAGCCATGGCAGGACTGTATAACAGTGTGGTATGTTCTAGGAACTTTAGGTAGTTCAGTATGGCCTAAATCTAGAGTATGTGGTGCAGAATGATAGATGAGGCTAGGTATCCGTATTGTGTGTGCCGTGCTCAGGTTTCTCTTATACCATGCTAAGGAATTAAAATTGTGTCCTATCTAGACTTTCAGAAACTACAGGACAAATGACCCAATTTCCTCAATAAATAAATTGCAAGGAGAATAATAAGAGAGAGGGAACATAAGTTTAAAGACACTTAAGAGACATGTCAACAAATTGGAATGTATGGACATATATAAGACAATTGGGTAAATGTGAACAATGTCTACATGTTTATTACTAACTTTTTAAAGTGTGATATTAATGGTATTGTGGGTATTTTTAAAAGTTATCTTTTAGAGATAGAAACTAATGCTTAACGGATGAAATGTATGTCTAGGATTTGCTTGAGAATAATCGGGGGTGCGTGGGGGCGGTGGCTAATAGGGAAAGAGATAAAGGTGTAGGTGAAATGAGATTGATGATGTGTTTATAGTTGTTGAGGTTGGGCGATGGATATATGAGAGTTGAGGATAATATTCTTTCTAGTTTAGAATGTTTAAAATTTTGAAATTTTCTATAATAAAAAGTTAAAAATTATAACTGATCCAAACTTTATTGTGCATAAAAATAATCTAAGAAGATTGTTTAAAATGCAGATTTCAGCCCTTGCTGGTTTGGCTCAGTGGATAGAGCGTCAGCCTTTGGACTGAAGGGTCCGGGTTCAATTCTAGCCAAGGGCACATGCCTGGATTGCAGGCTCGATCCCTAGTCGGGGATGTGCAGAAGGCAGCCAATCAATGATTTCCTCTCATCATTGATGTTTCTCTCTCTCTCTCCCTCTCCCTTCCTTTCTGAAATCAATAAAAATATATTTAAAAAAATAAAATGCAGATTTCAGGACCTCCACCCTTGAGTTGGACTGAGGTAAGGCCCAGAAATCTGCATTTGTATCAAGCACCCAGTGTTGAATATTGCTTTATGGGGTGGAAAGGAATTGAGTTGTGAATGAGTGACAAGAGCAAATTTGTGAATTTAAACACACTGACAGCAGAGTGGATGATGAAGCAGAGTGGAGGGAGACTAGAGGCAGTTGTAGTAATCCAAGAAAGAGAGCCATGGGTATGAACAAGAGTAGTGGATTATAGCCCAGCTGGTGTGGCTCAGTTGGTTGAGTGTCATCCCATGCACCAAAAGGTCACTGGTTTGATTCCTGGTCAGGGCACATGCCTGTGGAGGCAGCTGATTGATGTTTCTCGTGGATGTTTCTACCTCTTTCTTTAAAATCAATAAAAACATATTTTTTTTTAAAAAGAGTAGTAGGTTGCAGATAAGCTAGAGGATACAGATGCAAGAGATACTTAAGAGATGGAATTGGCCAAGCCAGATGATTAATTGGAGGTGAGAGATAAAGAATAGTAAATATTTTACAGATTTCTGATTAGGCTATGAGGTATATAGTGAGACTATTCTCCAAGCAAGGGAATTTAGGAGGAGTTTTTGTTTTTGTTGGACAGTGTGATGTGTGGATGGTTGTGGTGGGTAGAGTCAGCAGGATGAGGCTACTCAGTTGTGTATTTAGCTACTTTATAAAGAGAATTGAGGAAGGTTGTTGAACAAGACAAGTATCAATAGAGGAATTGCCTTCAGATTCCTAACACTACTTTAACCATACAAACATAAAGCCTTCAAGTCTCTTTTCTTGGATTTCCCCATCTGTGAAATGGAAGTAGAAACAGCAGTTGTAGCATAAAATAATTAGCTGTGTCTCTGCCAGTCTTAGGATTAGAAAACCAGGAAAGGACATTCCTCTTTTTCCTTTTTGCAGAACTGGTCTTCAGGAGTCTCTTTTGTTTTCTTCCCTCTCCCTTCCACTTAACCCAGTGGGTCTCAACCTTCTGGCCCTTTAAATACAGTTCCTCATGTTGTGACCCAACCATAAAATTATTTTCGTTGCGCCCTGACCGGTTTGGCTCAGTGGATAGAGCGTCAGCCTGCGGACTCAAGGGTCCTGGGTTTGATTCCAGTCAAGGGCATGTACCTTGGTTGCGGGCATATCTCCAGTGGGGAGTGTGCAGGAGGCAGCTGATCGATGTTTCTCTCTCATTGATGTTTCTAACTCTCTATTTCTCTCCCTTCCTCTCTGTAGAGAATCAATAAAATATATTAAAAAAAATATTTTCGTTGCTACTTCATAACTGTAATGTTGCTACTGTTAATTGTAATGTAAATATCTGATAGGGAGAATGGTCTTAGGCAACCCCTGTGAAAGGGTCGTTCGACCGCCAAAGGGGTCGCGACCCACAGGTTGAGAACCGCTGACTTAACCCCTTCTACTCTTTCCCCCCCTGCAACTCTAGGGTGGAGAGTTCAGAGGAGCCTGTATATGAGAGTCTAGAAGAATTCCATGTCTTTGTCCTTGCCCATGTGCTTAGGAGGCCCATAGTCGTCGTGGCAGACACCATGCTGAGGGACTCTGGGGGAGAAGGTGAGTCAGTCAATCCTCACTGCACTCTGAGCACCCTCTGTTTGCAGAGCTCTGGTGTAAGCACTGGGAGGAGTTTGGGAAAGAGGATATATAGACCTTTGGGGGGGGAAACAAGGTGTAAATTAGAACAATGCAAAGGTCTCAAAAGATTCAAGTTGGGATTAATTGATGAGGCTTCCTGGGAAAGAATTATTAAGCAGGGGTTGGAATGAAAGGGGGGACTCAATTGGCAGGGTGAGGAAGAGGGATTGCCCACTAGGCGAGAACATAGCCTTAATAATAATCTTTGTGGTTTCCTACAGCATTTGCCCCTATTCCCTTTGGGGGAATCTATCTGCCCTTGGAGGTCCCCGCCAGCCAGTGTCACCGCTCCCCTCTGGTGCTCGCCTACGACCAGGCCCACTTTTCTGCACTTGTGTCCATGGAGCAGAAGGAGAATGGCAAGGAACAAGGTGCTGAATGCAGTGTCTGTGTCTCTGATGCTTTTGATCTGCTTTATTTTCATTGGAAAAACCGAAATGAGTGCATGTTGATCCTATTCTACCAAGCTGTAAGATATACCAAGGTTTTAAAATTAAACAACAAAGGTTTGGGGGAAAACACAGTAGTTTTTTTTATTTCCTGCTCCCTGAAATAAAGGGTTTATATATTAAGGCCATAGAACCTTCCAAATGATGCTTTATTTGTCCAAGTGACTCAATTTCATGAATCTACATTAACTAGCAAAAACGTCATGAATGTTAGTTGACTGACAGGTGGGGAATCATGGGGATTATTGGCCTAAATTGTGTGCTGGGTATTAAGGGAAAGCCAGCCTTTTAGTTTTAAATGCCAGGATAATTCACATGTAAGAAATGAGAAGTGACTACAGTTATCATATCTCCTGTAGTATCAGTCAGTCTGTGTTCAGTTGCCTTCTTCTCTCCTTGGAGAGACTCCTTGATGACATGTTTTTCCCCCTCCAGCTGTGATCCCACTTACAGATTCAGAGCATAAGCTGCTGCCCTTGCACTTTGCTGTGGACCCTGGAAAGAGCTGGGAGTGGGGCAAAGATGACAGTGACAATGTCCGATTGGCCAGGTGAGGCATGCCTATCCTTTTCACCTGCTTTGTAGCTGCGAGCTCTCCCACATAACATCTGTCTCCTGGGGACTTTTTCTCAGCTCAGAGGCAAGTCACACCCTAGTTCCCATATTTTTGGGGACGATGGACAGGTGAAAGACAGGTTGAGCACCAGGACTTTTGCAGCGTGGAACTGCTTTTTCTCCCTGTGAAAGATGGGAATCCTGGACTTGTTCTTTCCTTACACTAATACCTCCCAGAATCCCCAAAGCAGTGATCAGAAAATCAAGATACACAATTCACAGTTCTCCCAGACCAAGTGAGAGGGGTTTTAAATAGGTGACCAAAATAATTTGCTCTGGATCTTTGCCTTTCTGGAATTTAAACAGCAAGAAAAATATGTTCTTCCCCACTGCTTGCTCTGCCTCCCATAAGCTGGTTAGCCTTCCTCCTGCTTCCCACCACAGCTTCCTGTGAAGAGTGTATGAATGTAAAAGCTCCTCCCTTATCTCTTACCCAGCCCTTCCTTCTTGGGGCTCCTAAAACTGAGACCCAAACGAGAGGGTTTGATTAAAAAACCCAGCGTTTGTGGCTTTTTAACCAAGTTCTCACCTAACTTTCAAAAGCTTCTTCTAAATATTTATAACAATGATAACAATGGCTACTGTTTAGTAAGAATTTCCTGTTTTCTAGACACTGTGCTGTGTGTCCTTTTAAATGTCATCTTAACCTTCATAACAACCCTACAGGATATATTATCATCATCTATACCCATTATCGACCCCATATTAGTTTCAGAGAAGTTGATGTGACTTGCTCAAGGTCATCAATCTTAGTAATTGGTGGAGCTATAATTCAAACCCAACCCTGAGTCCCAAGCCATGTGGCCCTCACCCACTTTACCTCCCAACTTATCATACTGCTTTGCATTTTATAGGTTACAGACATTTCTAATTCCTTTTTCTCCTTTTCACAGTGTAATCTTGTCCCTGGAGGTCAAATTGCATCTGCTGCATAGCTACATGAACGTGAAGTGGATCCCAGTGTCCTCTGATGCGCAGGTGAGGACATCTCCACCCGACCTTGTTGATCCTCATTTTCAGTGACAGGGAGAACAAGATCTGGTGATGTTCTCTTTCTGAATCTCTTCTGAGTGATGGCTTATGATTCCAAATTAGGAATAATTGGAAAATATCAAATAAGTTCCCAAAGATACTTTTTCCTGTCTTTCTTCCTGTTGGTGCCTCCCATTTTCCACATCTCCTCTCCAACCAAGCTCTGCTTTTTGATACTAAAACACATTCTTCAAGAAGAGTTTTCTGGACTTTTTGGTGAACTTGAGGTTGTCACCACTCTATCCCAGTGGTCTGCAGACTGTGGCCCCTTGAGTGTGGCTCTTCCACAAAATAACACGTGCGGACACGCACGTATAGTGCGATTGAAACTTCGTGGCCACACTCAAGGGGCCAAAGAGCTGCATGTGGCTCTCGAGCCGCAGTTTGCCAACCATTGCTCTATCCTAAGCTGTCTATACATAAACCTCTGTGTTGGCACCAGAGGAGACAGACAGCTTAAAGAGCTCCTGATCCAGTAGGTTCTGAGGATGTCATCAGTATCCATAGAACAGGATCACAGGAGCAAGGGCAAATTGATGGACTCTAGTGTTGAGTATCTAAAAGTTGAGGGGCTTCAGAATGGTTGCAGTTGGTCGGTTGGTTGCAGTTAGACAAGACTTTCTTGAGTTTAATTTTGGGAAGAATTTAGCATAGAGAAATTTAGAATCAAATAAAGAATGCTCCAGTGTGTACAGAATATTCTGTCCTTACCCAGAGGCCAAGTACTGTAGTTCCTCATTGCTCTAGAAGAGTTGCAGGCTTCATTATAATAGAAGGAAGTCATTGCAGGTGGTGACATTAAAGTTAGATATTAGATACATCTATTCCTTGTCTATGAGAGAGGGACTGGAGCTGGGGAAGAACAATGCCTTCCTGGGTGACCCTTCCCCATCATGATAGCAGCTCTTCTCTAAAACTAGGCAGTCACTCTTAAGGACAGTTCATAGGGGTGTTACCACCCTTTTTCACTTGGCTAATTCTTATATCAATGGCTACTGGGAGCCCCATGAGCCATATGGATAAACTAGGGATCCCTGGGGACGTCCCCCAACTCAGACCAATGAGATAACTGACAATCCTGTTTTTGTCTCTTCCAGGCTCCCCTGGCCCAGCCTGAGTCCCCCACTGCCTCAGCAGGAGATGAGCCCCGGTCCACTCCTGAGTCTGGCGAATCAGACAAGGAGTCAGTTGGCAGCAGTTCCACCAGCAATGAGGGCAGCAAGCGGAAAGAAAAATCAAAACGAGATCGGGAGAAGGACAAGAAGAGGGCAGATTCTGTGGCTAACAAACTGGGCAGCTTTGGCAAAACCTTGGGCAGCAAGCTCAAGAAGAACATGGGAGGCTTGATGCACAGCAAGGGTTCTAAGCCTGGAGGGATGGGAACAGGGTCAGGAGTGAGCAGTGGCACCGAGACACTGGAGAAGAAGAAGAAAAACTCGCTGAAGAGCTGGAAGGGTGGCAAAGAGGAGGCAGCTGGGGATGGGCCTGTGTCTGAGAAGCCTACATCTGAGTCTGTGGGTAATGGAGGGAGCAAGTATAGCCAGGAGGTGATGCAAAGCCTGAGCATCATGAGGACTGCAATGCAAGGGGAGGGGAAGTTTATTTTTGTTGGAACCCTGAAGATGGGTCACCGTCACCAGTATCAGGAGGAGATGATCCAGCGCTACCTTTCTGATGCTGAGGAGAGATTCCTGGCAGAGCAGAAGCAGAAGGAGTCAGAGAGGAAGATCATGAATGGAGGGGTAGGAAGTGGGCCTCCTCCAGCCAAAAAGCCAGAGCCAGATGGTGGGGAGGAGCTGCTGACTGCCCCCCAAACAGAGTCCAAGGCAATGGCATTTTCTACTGGCTACCCTGGGGGCTTTACAATCCCTCGGCCTTCTGGGGGTGGAGTTCACTGCCAGGAACCCCGGAGGCAGTTGGCAGGGGGTCCATGTGGGGGTGGCCTACCACCATATGCCACCTTCCCTAGACAGTGCCCTCCTGGGCGACCCTACCCCCATCAGGACAGCAGCCTTTCTCTGGAGCCAGGCAGTCACTCCCAGGATGGAGTTCATAGGGGTACATTGTTACCACCCCACTTCCGTGTGGCTGATTCCTATAGCAACGGCTACCAAGAGCCCCCTGAGCCAGATGGATGGGCTGGAGGGCCCAGGGGGCTTCCCACAACCCAGACCAAATGCAAACAACCGAACTGCAGCTTCTATGGACACCCTGAGACAAACAACTTCTGCTCCTGCTGTTACAGGGAAGAACTGAGGAGGAAGGAACGGGAACCGGGTGGGGAGCTGCTCGTGCACAGGTTCTGAATGAAGGGACCTTGGAGGGCAAGGGGGTAAACCAAGAAAGTTAAGCTCAACTAATTGGCTCATCAAGACCCAGCCCCCATACCGATGGGGCAAATGCAGTAATGTTTGTGGGAGCCTGGCTAGAAACTTTTAAGTGTGTGGGTGCTGGAGAGTTGCCAGGCTGGCAAGAGCAGGTCAGGGCTGGACGGTGCCTCAAGGGCTGCACTAGTCCTTTGCAGATCTTAACTTGATGGGACTGAGGAGGTACAAAGGAGAAAGATGGTGATTCTGTCTCATAACCCCTTGGGTCCATGAAAGCAGTAGGGGCAGGTTTGGAATGTGGGGATGGGGAGATGGTTAGCCATCTGGGAAAGAGGCAAAGGTGGTTCTCAGTCAATAAAAGAGAAAAAACAGACCAAAGTTCTTTTAGGTTGAAAAAAAGTACATGGTGGTGGAGTTGGGAGTGTGGAGAGAAATTGGGAAATTAAGACAAATTGGCCATTGATTTGAATTAAGATAGAAATTAGGGTTGGATAAATTCTTCCTCCTGAAGAATCTGGAAAGACAGGGCAGTAATGTATGCTCATAGATGCCTATTAGGAGGGAGGTCGTTTAAATGGGTTTGTTGAGATGGAGAAGGAACGAACTTAAAAGGGGAAGCCTTTTCCTCTTAAGTTTTATTTCCTTCTAAACACCATCTGTCATCTGTTCTAGTTTGAGGAGATTGTTGATTGCCCCCTATCTTTTCCTCATCCTTTTTGAGGGCTGAACTCAGCTAAATTAAGGTTGTGATCTTTTTAAAAAAGACTTTAATTTTATTTTTTTTAAAGTTCCCTCTGGGGAAGGGAAAGAGAGTGATGAGAAGAGCAGCTGTGTGTGTTGAATTTTCTCCAGGTGAACTGGTACAGAGGTGATCTTTTTTTAACTACTTAGCAATAACTATATATTGGGGTTTGAGTGTGCCTTGGGAGGGGTGGGAGAAGGATAGACCTTTGGCCAGACTGTTTCAAACAAAACCAAAAACCTAAATAGAGCACTACCACCCTCTGCTGCTGCATTTCTGTAGAAAGCAACTTATTTTTCTTTTTTTTAAGGAAAAGAAACAAAAGACCCCAGCAAGCAAAAACATTTTTAAAAACAAATTTTTTCCTATTTAAGTGATTCTTTCTCCTTCCTCTCTGTTTTTGGAGAATGAACTTAACATCCCGGCTTCTTTTGTTAAGCCATAGCTGACCTTAATCTGTGGTTAGTTTATTAAAATAAAATACTTTGTAAGAAGAGATATTTTTTATAATTGGACTGAAGTTGAAACATGGGGTATAGGCTGGAGCAATTTATAAAAAGTTAGAGAAATCTATTTTAGTGAACTGTAACCACAGATCACAGATTACTCCCAATGAGATGATCTGTCTTTGGAGTTCCTCCTTTCCCTGACCCTACCCTTTTCCCCAGGGGGTGGGAGTGGGCCTGTGGACACAGCGTGGAGGAGCTCCTTTGCATTTTGCACAAAGCACAAGTCTGGACAGCCTACGCTCTGGCCAGCACCATTTTTAAGAGCTTTAAACCAGAGGACCTAACCTAGGCCAATTTTCCTTTTCCTTTTCTTTTTCTGGGAAAACTTCAACTATGCAATTGTATACACTCCTGGGTACATACAAAGAAGGGGAATAAGTGTACTTAAGTGTCCAGGTGTTAACTGGGGCTATTTTTCTGTATTTGGATTTCTCTTTGGAAGTATGTACTCATAACCCACCCCATGGAATGTGATCCCCACGTTTGCTCTGAGGCAGACGCGGCCTGGGTATGTGTGTGTGGGGGCGGGGGTGGGGGGGTGGGGGGGGGCCCTCGTGTTTGCCATATGTTGTTTCTACCCAATCAGGAAAGTTGTCTTGCTGTTTCCCCCTTGGTAACAAAACCACCAAGACTGTCCTCTTTATTGGAACTGCTCACATTTTAGAAAGGTTTCTTCCTCAAACTTGAAAGTCACTTATTTCCCAAATCTGATACTGTTGATTTCACCATTTTCTATGGCTATGAATTCTCAAGTTTTTATTTGAAAATAGACCTGTTTTAAGGAAGCAATGAAGTCAAAGGAGTTAGATTCCAAAAGAGGGTATGTATACCAGTATATTCAGGGCAGGGCTGGGAATAATATGAGACAAGCACTCCTCTCAGGCACAAAACTGAAGAGGGTACTGAAAAACTCAATAATCAAGATAATGTTTTAATGCAATATTTTTAAAAAATCAATGCGAAAAAATCCATAATGAACAAAATGTCAATCTTAAAGACCGGATTCAACTGGACTGGGATCAGAGTGAGGGAAATAAGACTGAAATGAGCAAGTATAGGGTTGAATCCTGTCTTTATTTAAAACTGATAATTTGTTCGTTGTGGTGGTGTTTTTTTACATTAGTTTTGATTTCCAAAAAATACTGCATTAAAATAGTATCTTGGTTACTGGGTTTTGGGGCGCCACTTAAATTTTGTGCCCCAAAGGAGTGCCTTGCTCACCTCACCCTGTTTCTGGAGTTAGAACAATACTAGTGAGACTGCCACCTCATGGGCTTCCATCCCCTAACATGCACCCGAACAACAGGTGGCTCAAACTCACACCTTGAATTTGCACAACTCACTTAGCTTTCTCATAGACGTCCATCTATATCAGCGGTTCTCAACCTGTGGGTCTCCTAAGACCATCCTGCATATCAGATATTTACATTACGATTCATAACAGTAGCAACATTACAGTTATGAAGTAGCAACGAAAATAATTTCATGGTTGGGTCACAACATGAGGAACTGTATTTAAAGGGCCAGAAGGTTGAGAACCACTGATCTATATCATAGGATTCTGGCCTGGACCAATAGGAGTGGAAACAGACCAGAGATTTCCCTAGAGAATAAAACCAGGAAAGTTTTGATTCTCCACTGGACTGCTGTGTTTGGATTTGTTCTGTTACTAGTTCTAGGTAATACTTTTTGTTTTTAAAAACAGAGGACAAATGAACAAAAATGGAAACCTTATGTCGTTTGTTTTTCTTTTGATTTATAAATTAACCAATACCAATTTCTTCTGACTTCTTTTCAATAAAAATGATGGAAATTCTGGGGGGTGGCCTAGGGGCGAGTTTGGTAAAATAGGGCTTTATGTAGGCCTTATAGCTTTTTTGTTGTTGTTAATCCTCACCTGAGTATATTTTTTCAGTTGATTTTTAGAGAGAGTGGAAATATCGATGTTTTGAGAGACACATCAATTGGTTGCCTCCTGCCATGGGATCGTACCTGCAACCCAGGTACATGTCCTAGACCGGGAATCAGGAATCGAACCTGAGACCCTTCCAAGAGCAGGCCAGCACTCTAACCAATGAGCAACACTGGCCAGGGCAGCCCTGTAGTTTTTTTATTAAGAAATATTTTTCTTAATTTGGGTAGGTAATTATTTATTGAAGCATTAAATAAACCTCTCCGTTCTAAGGATGAGGGACCCTGAGTCAATGGATGTTTTTCTATAGGGATGAGTAGGGTTTGTTTTGCTTTATTCTTTGAGGGAATTGTGTGGGGTGGGGGAGCGAGGGAATAATGCCTAGGAAATGAACTTGGGTTGGTTTATGGTATTTTGGGAAGATGAGGGGGTGGAAGAGGCAAGCCCATGCAATTACTGTTTTGGGAGAAGGGAAGAGAGTGGTACATGATGTGCACTCAAACTGAGCAAAAATTCCTTAGTTAAGGAGAGGTCTGTGGGTGAAGGGGGTAAGCAGACCCCCATAACCCTAGCTGAGGGATGCTGTCCCTCAGTCTTAAATAAGTGCACTTAGTTCCTTTAATTCAGGGTGTTGGGGTACCTATTGAAGTTTTTTATTGGAAAGGGGAGATTTTCCCCTTTTGATTTAAGATAGTGCTACCCCTCCACCCTAATACACTCCAGCCCTGATGGAACAAGTATAAGATAAGCCTCCAAAATCTTCTCAATCTATGCTGGTTTTACTGAGGGTTACAAGATTTAACCAAAAGTTTTCCCCACATACTGGATTCTATCAAAATGAAAAGATTATATATAAAAATATATATAAATTTTAAGAAATTCAATGTCATTCTGGAGTGGGGATGGTGTTAAACAGTGCTGTACAGGCCTGGAGGGAAGTACCCTCCCTCTTGCAGTTTCTTCTCAGGCAAAACTAAAGCTCACAGACCAATAAAACAAAAATTAGCAATGACTTTGTATTGTATATTTGGGAGGGGATACTGAGCCAAAAAGAATGGGGCTGGTTCTGAATGACTTGAGAACCTAGCTTTTACCATTCTTACTCCTTTCTAAACAGCCACTTGTCCGAGGTTCCAGTCACGTTTTTTTCTTTCCCAATAAAGGAGCTTCAGAAATGATTGTCCCTGAGTTACTTGGACACCTTGGACTCTGTCCTCTTCTTTCTCCAAGAGTCAGTGCCCCAGACACATAGCCACGGGCGAGAAGACAGAATTAGAAGCCCCTTCCTGGCCTGGAATCATCTGCACCGTAGATTTTTCTAGTTTCTTTTTCCCTCCAGGCCCTTTAACTGTAGATTCAGTGAGTCATACAAGCACTCTGTCTCACTTTGTAGATACCCAGTCTACAAATCACAGGGTGTTTTGCTCCATGTACTTAAGTTAATTAACAAAATATTATGAAGTCTCCTGTGTAGACACTCCATGGCACCTTCCTCCACCTGGTGAGTAAGGGGCTTTAGAAGAGAGGGAAGCTGGCTGATAGTAGCAGAACTGACTGAAGTGGGGGTGGGAAGGACTAAGGCCTCTTTCCATGTTTATAACTGGATCTGTGACTCATCTTATGAGTCACTCAGCTCCTCCTTCAGCTGCCCCTCCTGGCAGCCTTCATTCGTAGCACAAACCTACAACCAGATCAGGATTCTGAAAATGGAAAAATCTGATAGTTCCACCCTTCCTTTCGTCCACTGAGCCTCCACTGGGAGTGTGTGGGGTGGTGAGAGGTGGTTCTGCTGTTAATTACCCCTCATCAGCTGCCCTCATTGCATTCCTGGTTGGGGACTAATCCAAGTCACCTTCCCCCCACCCCCAACTTTCCCCCAATCTCCTGATATTTTTCTCTGTATTTCTCTGCTGTTCCTTACCTCAAAGTATTAAAGAACAGAATGAGGCTCTTGAATGAAGGGTGGTGGGAGAAGGAAAGTGTATATTTTAAAATTGTGGTACACACCTCTTATTGCAACAGACCTTGGGAAGTATTTTCTTCCCCTGAGATTGAAACCCATGGAATGCAGGTAGGGGTGGGGATGCTTAGTAGCTTTGAGGACCTTGAGAATCAGGTATTCCTCTTTGTTCCAGATTGACACCCTGTCTCACAATATGTATTTTCACTATTTCCATAGTTGCAGCCAGACGGGGAACTTGTAAAGCTGAGGCCGGAAGGGTGTGTGTGCCGGGGGTTGGAGAGAATAAAGTGACACTGGGCCCCCACCTATGGATTGCTGCCTCTGTACAGACTCAAAATCAATAAAACAGCAGCTCATTAACTCTTTGTATTTTATTTCCTGTCTTTTTCATATCTAAATATAGATGTCGCATTCATACCCTAGTCCCCCACATCTGCAGTCCTGCAGTTCCTTTACTTTCATCCTGCTTCTTGGGTTGCAAGTGGGTTGGGAGGAGGAATGGGATTGTTGAACTGAACAGAGGTTTCCAGCCCTCAGCTTTCAGAATCCTGAACATGAATTATTAATTTGGAGATCTGGTGTCTGGATTGGAGGGAGGGGTCATGTACCTGGGGTGGGCTCCAGTTTCTAATTGGTTGGGGTGGTGTGTGTGTGCGGGCATGTGTGCATGTGTGTGTTTGATGGATAAAGTTGGTGAGATCTTTTCCTTGAGCCTCCCACCCGCACCCCAGAACTTGCACATAAACATACCTGTACTTGTGTCTGCATCGTGGAGAGATTTCAGTTTCTCGCCTTTTCCACTGCACCGTGCATACGAGGTATGTTTCATGCTCTCTGGGGAAGGACGGACAAAAACACTAACTCATCCCCATCCCCAATTCTTGGGTCTCCCCAGGCAAAACTACCCTGTGGTCCAATTTCCATTTACTTCTCAATCCCTTTTGGTAGGTCTGTCAGGAGAGGCTGTAAGGAAGGCCTTACTTAACCACTTTTGTGTTCCCCTTCCTCCACCCTGTCCCTTTTAAGATATACAGAAACTGAGCTTCCCAGGGAAGCCATCACTCAGAGTCTAGAGAAGTGGCCCAAATTGTTGCAGTTTAATATTCGGTATTACTGCTCCCCTCAAACAACCTCCAATTCTCACGAACAGGAAGTGAACAGGAGTTGAGAGTAAGAGTAAAGGAGGGAATCTGGGTATTTCCCCCCAGTTCCCCATTGATTCCTCACCCTTCCCAGGCGCCTCCACTTCCTCTCCACTTTCCTAAAATTGTGTGTATGCTCCTTTAAGGGGCTGGGCATCTCTCCCGCCCTCTCCCGAGTCGACTGAAGTTTCCGAGGAGCCTCCTCTAGCTGGACACAACTTTCAAAGACCCCAAATCGTGCTCCATGCACCTCAAATGTTCCTTTGCCCTGACTGTTCCCTTGCCCGGATCCCATCCCTGACTCCCCTCCTCTCAGCTACAAGATCCAGCCTCTCCCCAAGGGGCTTGAGCATCCCTGAAGTTTCCCACCTTTAACTGCTCCGTCCCCGGATGGAGCCGGAGAAATGTGGTGGGGGGGCCGGGGCCAGAGTTTCAACATCGCCCCCCAGAAGGAGGAGCCAGAGATGGGGGTAAGGAGAGTTGGGCTTGGGGGGAGGGGTTGGTGGGTCACAGGGTGTGAGTAGGGAGGATGTGGAAATAGAAGAAAAGGATCTAGAGTAGGAGGAGGGTGTGTCTCATATTCTCTGGCTGATGGAGCTTGGTCTGTCTTTTTCAGTCTCAAGTTCATCGTCTCATTATCCATTAACCAGCCCCTCCCTCCACTGTCTGCCAACCCAGGCCCTGAGCTCCCCACAGCCACTGATCTCAGTTTCCCCTGAGTCTGAGTGTAGGCCTCCAAAGGTGGCTGCTGAGTTAACCCCAGACCCCAGGGTTGGAGAGGCCTGGGGAATAACGCTACACCCTTCACAGCTCTCTGGACCACAGTCTGTCCAGGGGAGTGGGATGCCAGAGCCCAGGAGTCCTCAACTTGGCAGTTGCCTGGCCTCTGGATGCCTCCCAGGTAATAATGTCCTTCCAGCACTTCTGATCGTCAGAAACGGCTTCAAATTTCATCCTGCTTAAATCCTGTTTCCTACCTTCACTAAAGATACCTTCATATTCCTTTCCTGGCTCAAAGTGCTGCTTCTGCTTGAGGCTTGTTCTCTTTTCTGAACAGAACTGTCTGGGAGCTTGTACCTTGGAGATCCCTCTGTTTTCTTGACCCTGTTACCCCTTTTCTCATTTACTTATTCAATAAATATTTAAGTGTCTACTATGTGCCAGGCACTGTGCTAGACTCTAGAGTAAAAGATTACAAATTCTCTCCTCATAACCTTTCATTCTAGGAGTTAGAGGAGGATCTTAATCTTTCCTCTTTAGATCCTCCTGTCTCAGAGGAGTGGGTGTACACATGTGGGCAACACTGGAATGGTCATAACCTGGCTTCTCCTGTAGGGGAGCAGATCCTAGCATGGGCCCCAGGGGTGCGGAAGGGGCTGGAACCTGAATTGCCTGGAACCCTGATCTGCACCAACTTGAGGGTCACCTTCCAACCCTGTGGATGGCAGCGGCGTCAGGTGAGATGGTTAGGCCAATGCAAATGACAGCTAGAGGGAATAGGTAGCAGAGTCTAGACTCTAGAAGGATTTAGACAACCATTACAGGAAGTGTGGGAGTTCTTTTTTTTTTTTTTTTTGAAAAATTTTTTGTTGTTAATCCTCATCTGAGGATATTTTTTGCATTGATTTTTAGAGAAAGTGGAAGGGCGGGAAGGGGAGAGAGACTGAGAGAAAGGGGGGCAGGGATAGAGATAGAGAAAGCAAGAGAGAGAGAACAGACAGACAGACTGACACAGTCAGACATGGATTGGTTGTTTCTACATGCGCCCTGACCAGGGTGGGGATTGAACCTGCAACCCAGGTATGTGCCTTGACTGGGAATCGAACCCTGAGACCCTTTAGTGTGTGGGTTGGTGTTCTAACTATTAAGCAACCCCAGCTAGAGAGTTATTCTTAAAGGCTCTCTTTGGAATGTATCAGGGATAACCAATGGGATCTCTTCTAGAAAGGTGAAGGGCTACCGAGATGTGAGATTTCAGATGTCTTTAGCATGTCATGTGCTTCCTCTAGGAGACTCCCCTAAGCAGTGATTATGATTTTGCCCTGGTCAACATTGGGCAATTAGAGGCTGGTAAGTGTGGGGGGCTGGTAAAGGGGCTCACTGGGGGTGTTGGCTACCCTCCTCAATCCTTCCTCTATTCTTAGAGCACAGCCAGAGATGCAGTGGGATGGGCAGGAAGAGTTCCTCCTAGAGCAGTGGTTCTCAACCTTCTGGCCCTTTAAATACAGTTCCTCATGTTGTGACCCAACCATAAAATTATTTTCGTTGCTACTTCCTAACTGTAATGTTGCTACTGTTATGAATCGTAATGTAAATATCTGATATGCAGGATGGCCTTGGGCAACCCCTGTGAAAGGGTCGTTCGACTGCCAAAGGGGTCGCGACCCACAGGTCGAGAACCGCTGTCCTAGAGGGACCCTGATCCATGGCTACACTGCTCTCTAATTTTTTACTTCAGTGAGTAGCCTGTCTCGAGTCCAACTCCACCGTCCAGGGTCCCTGCTTAAATTTATCCCTGAGGAGATCCTGATTCACGGCAGAGACTTCCGGCTGCTCAGAGTTGGTTTTAAGGCTGGAGGACTAGAGCCTCAGGCCTTTCAGGTAAGAGGCTCCCAACCTAAGACCCCTTCCTTCCCTGAGAACCTTGGGATCCTTTCCCTGGCAGTTCCCAGTACTCCCTTATTTCCCAGGATCCCTCTCATTTGCTCTGCCTCTTTCCTCAAGGAGTGGCTAAAAGGCTGGGATAAATGATAGTATAATGAGAATACAGGGCCTGAATTCTAGCCTGCCTCTGCCAATTATCAGGAGTATGAATGACTGTGGGCAAGTGTCTTCCTGTGAAAAACAGGGAGGGTTGGAGGAGATGATTCCTAATATCTTCCAGAATTAACATTCTGTGATTCTGTGGTTCTAGGTGTACTCTCTTGACCCCAGGCCCCAAGACCTGTAGAAGCCCCCTTCCTTAGGGATTGTGTTCACTGTTCTTTGTTGGTGGCAAAGACAGTGAAGCATTTCCTTTTCACTTCAGTCTGAGCCAAAAGGATGGTGTACTTTCCTCCACAGGTGACCATGGCCATTGTCCAAGCCAGAGCTCAGAGCAGTCAAACCCAACAGTATTCAGGGATAACCCTGAGCAAGGCTGGTGAGTGAGGGTGCTTTGGGATAAGGAAAAGATAGAATCTGAAAAATCAGAGGCTGGTTGAAGACAAAAAGAGCTGAGCAGCTGTCCTCTTTCTCTTCTGTGCCTCACTCCTGCCCTAGGCCAGAGTTCTGGCTCCAGAAAATCACCTATTCCCCTCTTGGAGACACCAGAAGACTGGGAGACTGAGAGGAAAAAGCAGGGGGCCAATGGCTGGCGGGTTAGTCTTGTCAATGAGAGATTCGACGTAGCCACCAGGTGATCCCCCAGTCCACCCCAACTGCTGTAGCCTTCCTTATCGTCCCACAGTTCTCTGACTCTTAAGCTATGCTTCCCACACACTCCAGCTTCCTAGGACAACCACAAAGCTATCCCCCTTACCTCCTAGGTCTCTAAATCTGAGATCACTTGGAATGATCACCTCCTAAGCACCTCCCTTGTAATCACAGGTTTGCGTTATGAGGTCACTGAGCCAAGATGTGACATTACTCTCAATTTCACAGCCTCCCCCGTTACTTCTGGGTCCCTAACCGAACTCTGGACAGTGAGGTCAGGAGAGCATTTGGCCACTTTCATCAGGGCCGTGGACCGGTCAGTGTGAGGGTGGGGATTAGAGGGTTATGGGAGGTCAGGGGTCATTGTGAAGGGAGGGGATCCCTGTGAGGTCAGTGTGGGGGCAAGGGCAGGGTGAGGCTAGGAGTTCCTCCCACAGTGATTCTCCTCTCATCCATTTGAAGCGCCTGTCCTGGCATCACCCTGGGGGTAGTGATCTTCTCCGCTGTGGAGGTTTCTACACAGCCAGTGACCCTAACAAGGAGGACATCAGGTGAGGGAAGTTTGATGAGAATTAAAGGTTAGGTGTTCAGAGCAGACGCCTTCCCTTACTTTCTGACTCTCTCTCCTCCAGATCAGTGGAGTCTATGCTCCAGGCTGGGCATTCTGACGTTGTCCTGGTCGATACTATGGATGAGCTGCCTAGTCTTGCAGATGTCCAGCTTGCCCATTTGAGGCTGAGGGCCCTCTGTCTGCCTGGTGAGAATAACCTTTAACCCCTTACCGCACTGTAGGTCTGCTGACCCTAACCTGGCTTTCCATTTGCCTGCTACAGACGAGCAACCAACCTTTCAGCCCAATGAGCCTTAGTTTTCTACTCAACTCTCCCATCTCCCACTAATTTCCTGTCTTCCAGACCCCAACATATTCTTTTTGTTAACAGCTTTATTGGGATATAATCTACATAGTATAAAAATCATCCTTGCCCTAACCGGTTTGGCTCAGTGGATAGAGTGTCAGCCTGCAGACTAAAAGGTCCCAGGTTCCATTCCGGTCAAGAGCATATGCCTGGGTTGTGGCTCGATCCCCAGGAGGGGGCGTGCAGGAGGCAGCCAGTCAATGATTCTCTCTCATCATTGATGTTTTTATCTCTCTCTCCCTCTCCCTTCATCTATGAAATCAATAAAAATATATTTTAAAAAATCATCCTTCACCCATAAGTATACAATTCAATAAACTCTGTACAAACATTACCACAATTTAACTTTTGAAACCTCATGGCCATTAGTTACTTTTCATTCCTATCCCTAGCCCAAGGCAACCACTACCCAACTTATTCTTAACCTTCAGGCTATAGACCCTGAATCCCGAATCCCGAGTTCTGATCTCTTTGCCCTTCTGACCCCTCTACTATCCATCAGATTCATCTGTATCTGAGGATAAATGGCTCTCAGCCCTGGAAGGAACACGATGGTTGGACTATGTCAGGTACTCCCTCTTTTTCTAAAAATGACTTATAATTCAGCCCTCCCCCAACTTCCATTAACTTAGATTCCTAAGTGGCCTTGCATTAATTTTGCTCCTTGGTTTCCCAAGAAGGCTGTTATTTCATGCTCCTTAGAAGGAGAAGGCAGGATTTTGGAGTTGGCCTCTATTCTGTCCCACGACCCCTCACTCCTTTTTTCCAGGCTTATTCTTCCCTCCTCTTCCTCACCTCCAGGTCTTGCCTTCGAAAGGCCAGTGACATCTCAGTCTTAGTGACATCTAGAGTTCGCTCTGTAGTACTTCAAGGTGAGTTTCTTGGGTCAACTCACTCCACTACTTGAGTTTTTCCTTTACCCACCTAACTAGATTGTGCAAACATTATTTGCAGGCCATAGAAAATTATCAACCTAAAAATTAGCCTGCTATATTTGTTCAAACATTTAATTAACCCACCCCTAATGCCTTGGCAGGGCCAGACCAAATGATTTCATGGACCTTACTAGTATATGGCCCACAGGCCAGACATTCCCCACCTGTTATAAAGCTTGTCCCCTTCTAGTGCTAGCATCCTCTTCTCCCTTTACTAGGAACTACCCGTGAGCTCTAACTCATCCTTTAGTGCTACCTCCGCCTCCCCACCACAGCTTGTGGTCCTAACAGAAGGATTCTCTGCCCTCAGTTCCTATTCTTCCAATATGGATGGGGATTGGGGTTGGGATGGGAAGGACAATGTGGAAGCTGATTTGAGATTTATAATGCTGCTCCCTACATGTGAGGCTGGGTATTTCTATCCAGATGGAGTGTATGAAGTGAATCATTCAAGGTCTTTGTTTTTTCCTTACTTCTATGTGCCCTCTCAATTCTACCTACCCAAAACTTTCCCCTCTGTGCTTCACCACACTTCTTGCCATGTTTTCTTTTCTCATTCTCTTCTGCCCTAGTTTCTTGGCCCCTTCTTCTTTGTCCCTTCTCCCTCTTTATCACCAGAGCGAGGTGATCGTGATTTCAATGGCCTCCTCTCTTCACTCGTCCAGCTGCTTTCGGCCCCTGAAGCCCGAACGCTGCTTGGCTTCCAGTCACTAGTGCAGCGAGAGTGGGTGGCAGCTGGACATCCCTTCCTGACCCGACTTGGGGTAACTGGGGTCAGTGAAAAGGTGAGAACATTTTGGGAGGGTATTGGGATGGGGGCCAGTATTACTTAAAAAGAGGATCAGAAAATTATATAGTATAATCCACTGGAGGTGAATAAGGTCTGAAGGGTACTGAGGTTAGGCTGAGTTTGAAGGGAGAACCCAGATGAGTGAGGGACCACACTTCCTATTATGCTCAATTCAGATCTCCATTTCCTGATCTCCATAGTGGCCCCTGTTCCCTGTGTCCCTCTCATTTGTCATCCTCCCCTTTTAGATTCCTATAGTCCATTCCATCCTCCTAATTTACCTTTTTTCAGGCCCCAGTGTTTCTCCTCTTCCTTGATTGCGTCTGGCAGCTCCTCCAGCAGTTTCCAGCTGAGTTTGAATTCTCTGAGTTTTTCCTTCTTGCTCTTCATGACAGTGTCAGGGTTCCTGACACACTTACATTCTTGAGAGACAATCCCTGGGAGCGTGGAAAGCAGAGTGGACAGGTCAGTGACTTTCATTTTTCACTTGTCTTCCACATTCCTCCACACCCCATTGAGAAGTACTTCCTGAAGTTTAGTCTTGTTTATGAAAAGTGAGGTCTATGGGTGAGAAAGAGGGAGGTTGGTGCTCTCTCTCAGGACTGGACTTTCACCCTACATATGACTCCTGGAGTAAGAGATGAGCAGCTTTTCACAATTTCTCTCTAGACCTGTGAGAAGGAATATCTATCTATCTATCTATCTATCTATCATCTATCTATCTATCCCGGTGCACAGATTCGTGCACCAGCGGGGTCTCTCGGCCTGGCCTGTGGGGATCAGGCCAAAACCGGCAGTCCGACATCCCCCGAGGGGTCCTGGATTGCAAGAGGGCATAGGCCAGGCTGAGGAACCCCACTGGTGCATGAATCCATACACCGGGCCTCTACTTTGCATATAAGATCTTTGGTTAATCTCTTCCCGCCCTCCCTCATTTCCCCTTCCCTCTGAGATTCAGCAGTCTGTTCCAGGTTTCCATGCCTGTGTGTTGAGCGTCTGCCCCCTGATGGTCAGTGTGCATCATAGCTACTGGTTGAATGGTCGAACAATCGCTTAGGCTTTTATATCTATAGATTTTTTTCCCTTTGTTTAACCATCTTTTTTTCTTGTTTTCCTCTGTACAGTTCAACTCCTATACACAAGTCTATACCCCAGGGTATTCCCACCCCCCCGCTGGTAACTCTATTAACTCACAGCTATCTGTCTGGGACTGGGATTTACGCTACAGCAATGAACAGATACTACAATTCCATAATCCTGGCTATGACCCGGAACACTGCCAAGATTCCTGGCTCCCTAGACAGCAGGTGAGGTGTCTGAACTCCCTAAATTCCCTTGACTTGCTCACAGGCTCATCCTACTAGATGGGGGGGAGAAGTGGAAAGATACAGTGTCTAAGTTCCCCAGGGAAAGCTACCTTACTCCTCTTCTACAACTGTCACTTATTGTTCCTGACTGTCCCCAGGAAGACAGAAATCCTAGAATAGCAGTGGGCATCCTTTTGGTCCTCATCTTCTGTCTCACGCATACATTTTACAAGTTTCCCTAAAATCAACTTTAATCAGTCCTGAGGCCTATTTTGAAACCTAATGAAGAGAAAAAATAGAGTTCTCAGTGGGAGGCTTGTAGTTGCACCACCAGTGCAGTAAGTAGTAGCTGGACATTCCGTCCTGACCCAATTTGGGAAAACTGGGTTCATCTGGTTTCTAGGTCACCAGCTGATTTTCCTTTCCCCTTTAGCCAAGCTTCATGGTTCGTGGACCCCCTAGTTCTGTGTGGCTCTTCTCCAGAGGGGCCCTGACTGCCCTGAATCAGCTCTGTCCTTGGCGGGACAGCCCTTGCCTGCTGACAGTCTCTTCACGCTGGCTCCCTCGACCTGCTATCTCTTCGGAAAGTCTAGCTGATCAAGAGTGGGGGCTCCCCTCACATTGGGGAGCTTGCCCTTTACCCGCAGGGCTGCTGCTGCCTGGGTATTTGGGACCCCAGATCAGGCTCTGGAGACGCTGCTACCTAAGGGGAAGGCCTGAGGTCCAGGTGAGAAAAGACAGGGATGGGGAGTGGGAGAAGGGTTTGACTGCTGAGCCAGATGTTCTAGGAGAAGTAAGATGTTTCAGGAGAAACCAGATGTTCCCAGGATCTGGAACAGCAAGGGGCTGGGGAAACTGGGAAGTGAAGAACCATTCTTGTTGGTATCAAAGTGGAGAGGTGTGGGAGTATGGGTGGGTGGGGAAAACTGCTTGTGGCTCAGACCAAGTGGAACCTAGGGCACAGTTGGAGGGGGAAGAGAATTAAAGATGCCAGAGGTAGTGGACAGATTTCAGAAGCAGAGAGCTAGAGCTGCACTGATACTGTTCCTCTACTTCCCACTCCCTTCCCAGAGGGGCCTCTCAGCTCCCACCATCACGGGCCTCCAGGACGAGCTATCCCGTCTTCAGGAGCTAATAAAGAAATGGACGCCAAGAACATCTCCCGGGGACTGCTCCCAGAAAGGAGATCCAAATCCCATTCTCTCCCAATCCCATTGACATGGCTGGCTTTCTCGTGGGCAGGGCAAAGGGGGGTCTGGGGTGAGAGAGGGTTCTAACCCTTCCGGTTTTTCTCATCGGGACTTGCCGCCTCAGCTTTCACGTTCCAGCCCTCAAACAAGACCCGACTTGATTTTCCATTGCAGATGGGTGGTGCTACCTACAACTCTTGCTCTGTCCTGTTTAGTTCCTCAAGAGTGTATACAGTGTCTTGTGATTTGAACAATTAAGAAACAAAAACAGTCCAAAATACGATCACCTGTTTGTTTTCTTTTTCTTTTTTTTTCAGGGAAATTCCCTTTTGGATATTCAACTGTTAATTTTGAGTTCAGGCCTCATTTTCACCTCCTTTTGCTGCTTCTTTAATTCCAATTCCTACTTCTCCCCTTAGAGCTTCCTATGGATATAGAGTGGGTATGGGAGACACCCTGTCTCTTCCAATTGTCTATTTTTGTAGTGAACTTCTATTTAAGGGGCTCATTAAAGCATAGTATTTATACTTGTTGCTGGCACTGTTTCTCGTGTCTGAATAAAGGATCCTAGGCGACTGGGGTAGGTGTAGGGTGGGTGTGACCCAAGAGAGAATGGCACTCACCACGCAAATTATTGATCAGGAAATAAGGGATGGGTCGGGGGAGGCTCTGCAAACTTCACGTGCAATTTGGGAAAAGTTTCCTTTTCCGTGCCTCCCACTGAGGAACAGGTGGTACCAAGAAGTGGTTGCTGGGGCCAGGGATGTTCTGGAGGTTGAAGCCTCTGGGTTTCAATGTCAACCGCCCCTCAGCTTCGGTCACACCTCATCTCTAAGCCTCGGGTTCCCCGGAACCCCCCATGTAATAACCGCGACGCGAGCCGAGACGTCACTTCAGCGGCGACACTGCAATCCCTCCCTTGAAGGAGACAAAAAACTAACCGAGCCCAGGCTGGCGCTGCGGGGCGGGGTGAGGGCTGCCCCCGCGCTGTCCTTGGGTGAGGGGAGTTCCTCAGCACACTCTTCTCTGAGGAACAAAATCTATGAAAAGTTTCGCTCCTTTCGTTTTTAAGTTTACATTTTGGAAACAGTGTGGTCCTGCAACGTCGCACTCAGCCTGGGGAGGGTCTGGCGTTCCCGTCCTGCCTTCCTCGCCCGGAACGCTCGCGGGCACACCCGCCGCACCTGGGAACGGCGGCCCCTGAGATGGCCGCGGCCGCTTCCGGCTCCTCCCACCGCCGCGGCCGCTTCCGGCTCCGCCCACCGCCGCGGCCCGCCCGCCCCCCTACGTCCGCCTTCGCCCCGGAAGTGGAAGTAGTGACTGAGGTCGGGGGGCGGAGTCGCTGCCTGGAGACGGCGGGAGCTCTTTCGCCATGGCGGCCGGACCGATCTCCGAGCGGAACCAGGGTGACTGGAGGGAACGAGCCAGGAATGGGCTTCGGGGGTCGGGAGGCTCCTCTGTGGCCACCAGTGTTTCCGTCGGGGCGGGAGACTGGGCTTCCCCGGGGGCACGAGACCGGCCCGGTGCCCGCTGGGGGCGGGGTGGGGGGGCCGGGTTCGGGCCAAGGCCTGTAGGCGTGATGCTTTCTATGCCCAATCTTCTGCCTTCCCACTGATAAGAAAGTTGTAAAGAGAATTTGCAGCAGAACTCTAAGTTAGGCGTCAGAAGATTCTGTTGTTCCTGTAGAAAGGGAGGTGTATGGGCTTCATCTAACGGGTTTTTTTGTTGTTGTTTTCTTTTTGCTCCTATACCCTGTCTCCACCCCCACTTACCCCGCTTGGTTTTCACCTTCATGTTCCTGTCGTCCCCTTTCCTGCCCATTCCTCTCGGCCCTAACCCCCTTCTCCCGTCGTCCAGATGCCACCGTGTACGTGGGGGGCCTGGACGAGAAGGTTAGCGAACCGCTGCTGTGGGAGCTGTTTCTCCAGGCCGGGCCGGTCGTTAACACCCACATGCCCAAGGACAGGGTCACTGGTCAGCACCAAGGTGAGTCCGTGCACTGCTGCACTGAGGGGACACGCTGCTCTTTGAGAATCCCAGCAGTATTCGCGGCTGCTTTGCAATAAGCAACCTCAACATTTCTGTCTCTTACGTCTGTGCACAGTTTGTTTCTGGGACCGTTCTCAATGGAAGTGAGGTTATTCTTTATTTTTGGTGCTTTTGAAGGTGGATGAGGTGTACCCCGTTTTGCACCACTTCGCTTAAGCTAACCTCCTCCCTTGCACTTCTCCAGGCTATGGCTTCGTGGAATTCTTGAGCGAGGAAGATGCTGACTATGCCATTAAGATCATGAACATGATCAAACTCTATGGGAAGCCAATCCGGGTGAACAAAGCATCAGCTCACAACAAAAACCTGGATGTGGGGGCCAACATTTTCATTGGGAACCTGGACCCAGAGATTGATGAGAAGTTGCTTTATGACACTTTCAGCGCCTTTGGGGTCATTTTACAAACCCCCAAGATCATGCGGGACCCTGACACAGGCAACTCCAAAGGTTATGCCTTTATTAATTTTGCTTCGTTTGATGCTTCGGACGCAGCGATTGAAGCTATGAATGGGCAGTACCTCTGCAACCGCCCTATCACTGTGTCCTATGCCTTCAAGAAGGACTCCAAGGGTGAACGTCATGGCTCAGCAGCCGAGCGACTTCTGGCAGCCCAGAACCCACTCTCCCAGGCTGATCGCCCTCATCAGCTGTTTGCAGATGCACCCCCTCCACCCTCTGCCCCCAATCCTGTAGTATCATCATTGGGAACTGGGCTTCCTCCACCAGGTAAAGTTTTTGATTCAAAATATGTTTGTTTTGGGGTTTGGTGGGTAGGGCAGGAAGAAGGAAAAAGAATAATAAAGGAGGACATTGAGTCACTGGGTGATGAGAGCAGGATTGAAGTGTGATGGTTGTGATGGGGAGAAAAGTTGCTGTTTCTCCAGGAAGTTGAAGTTGTTTGTATTGGCTAACGTTGCTTTTTTGAGAGAGCTGGGAGGAGGAGAAAAGAGCTCATCCTACGTGGAGAGGCCACGCTGGAACAGGCTCGCTAAAGACATTCTCTCCTCACTATCATTAATTCTTCTTCCATTTCCTCTATAGGCATGCCTCCTCCTGGCTCCTTCCCACCCCCAGTGCCGCCTCCTGGAGCCCTTCCACCTGGGATTCCCCCAGCCATGCCCCCACCACCTATGCCTCCTGGGGCTGGAGGACATGGGCCCCCTTCAGCAGGAACCCCGGGGGCTGGACATCCTGGACACGGACACTCACATCCTCACCCATTTCCACCGGGTGGGATGCCCCATCCAGGTAGGTGTTCTTTGCTGGGAAAGGGAGGGATGAGCTTGAAAGAGGATCTCTATCACCACTTATTTCTGCCCTTTTTCCTTTAACAATAATAGATAGTTCCAGAGCTGAACTTTCTTTCAGACATTATTTTATAAGAAGAAACACAAAATACTTTACTCTGTTTACTTTAACAACTGCCACCCTGTCTCCATTTAAGTTTTTCTAAAGGGTATAACTATACTTGCTGTTTTTTGTTTCCTTAACTTATACTTCCTCTGACTTTTACCCCAAAGCAGTGACCTAATTGCTAAATCTCGGGGACACTTCTGTTCCTTATCTAGTTTGACCTTTGTTCTTACTCAAAACTAGCCATGCCTTTTTTAAAGAAATTTTATTGGATTTATTGGAGCATTGGTTAATAAAATTATATAGGTTTCAAGTGTACAATTCTATAATACATCCACTCACCATTTATTCCCCTTTACCCATTTCTGCCTCCCTCCACCCCCCCTTTCCTTCTGGTAATCACCATACTGTTGTCTGTCTATGAGTTGTCTATGTCTTTTTGTTTGAAAATCTTATCTCTTGGTTTCTCTGGATCTTTATCTTTCTGTCTCCTCAATCTCAGCCACTTTAGTAGACTCTTTGACTCTTTTTTCTCTGTTTGTACCTGTGTAGTTTCATTACTTGCACACCGATGCCTCCTGATGTGTATCTCTGATTCATGATTATTAACATTCTAGACCAGCCGTGGGCAAACTACGGCCCGCGGGCCGGATCCGGCCCGTTTGAAATGAATAAAACTTAAAAAAAAAAAAAAGACCGTACCCTTTTATGTAATGATGTTTACTTTGAATTTATATTAGTTCACACAAACACTCCATCCATGCTTTTGTTCCGGCCCTCCAGTCCAGTTTAAGAACCCATTGTGGCCCTCGAGTCAAAAAGTTTGCCCACCCCTGGTCTAGACACTAATCCTGCTGCTAAATGGACAGCTCCACTTTTCTACCCTTCCCTTTCAACCCTATTCTTCCTCTAGTATTCTTTGTTTTCAGGTGCTTAATTCAGAAATCTTGGAGCTATGTTTGACTATTCTATCTTTGGCATCTGCCCTGACTGCCAGTGCCCAATTTCAGACTCTTATACCCTTACTAGAGGCCCGATGCACAAAATTCGTGCAAGAGTAGGCCTTCGCAGCCCTGGCTGCCTCTTGGCCCCGCCCACTGGTCGTTCTACAGTCTGGTCTAATTAGCATATTAGCTGTTTATTATATAGGATTCTTTCTTTTTTTTCTTTTGTTAATCCTCACTCAAGGATATTTTTCCATTGTTTTTTAGAGAGTGTGGAAGGGAGAGAGGAGGGAGAAGGAAGGAGAGAGAGAGAAACATTGGTTGGTTGCTGGCCACATGCATCCCTTGACTGGAATCAAAACCTCGGCCCTTTGGGTGCAGGTGCTGACAATCTAATTACTGGCCCACACTGGTCAGGGCATCATACTCTCATTATTTAACATCTAATTTATTGTAGGAACTTCCTCGCACTTTGACTCCAATTTTCTCTACCTTTGATAGTTTCACAGAGTTATTTTTCTAAAACACATGTTTGTACATCCTTACTAAAAATTATTCTGTTGTTTCCTTTTATCTACAGAGAAATTCCAGACTCATTGCCATAGCATTCTAGACTTTTCTTGATCTGGCCCCTGGTTAACAAAATTACTGGTTCTCCTGGAACTTGGTGTTGCTAAAAAACACCTATGATTCTAATCTTTTCTGCCTTGGATGTTCTATTCCTACTTTGTCCATCAGAAAAATTCTTATTCATCCTTTAGAAATAGATCTTTGCTCAGATAGTATCTCTGTGACCTTTCCAAATTCTATCAATAGACTAATTCAGCGGTCATGAGGACCGAAAGGTTGGTGACCGCCGGACTAATTCACTCCATTTGTCATGTACTTCTGCAGCACTATTACAGTGCCTAAATCATGGAAAGAGCAAGTGAAGGAGGGAGGAATTGCTTGGGTAGTTGGTTGGTTTGTACTGTTGGAATGTGTTCAAGGATAGGTGCACTTTTTAATCAGCCTTATTTTCCATACTCTTCCTGATGTCACTCCATTTTTTTTTTTAAAGATTTTTAAAAATATATATTTTATTGATTTTTTAGAGAGGAAGGGAGAGGGATAGAGAGTTAGAAACATCAATGGGAGAGAAACATCGATCAGCTGCCTTCTGCACACCCCCTACTGGGGATGTGCCCGCAACCAAGGTACATGCCCCTGATTGGAATCGAACCTGGGACCTTCCAGTCTGCAGGCTGACACTCTATCCACTGAGCCAAACCAGTTAGGGCTGTCACTCCATTTTATCTGCCCTTTCTCTTGTGTGTCTGTCATAGGCATGTCTCAGATGCAGCTGGCCCACCATGGCCCTCATGGCTTAGGACACCCCCATGCTGGGCCCCCAGGATCTGGGGGGCAGCCCCCACCACGACCACCACCTGGCATGCCTCATCCCGGACCTCCGCCAATGGGCATGCCGCCTCGAGGGCCTCCGTTTGGATCTCCCATGGGTGAGTAGGCTCTAGCCACCTCCCATCTCCTCCTCATACATCATATTCTTGTGGCTTCCTTTGTCACACCTCTTTTCCCCTGCTCTGTC